TTTTTTCAGGATTCTTTGATGAATAAAAAGTTAAAAAGAACATAATTTATTCAAAAGCTAAATCTTTTCTAACAATATAAATCTTTGCTATCACTTCTTAAGAATTTAACACATCCTTGCTGAATAAAAGTTTTAATTTCTTTAAAAAAATGAAATAATAATAATTTATATGTACTGTATATTGTTAGAAAAGATTTCTATTTTAAATAAATGCTCTTCTTTTTAACTTTTTATTTATCAAAGAATCCTATCAAAAAAGTATCACAGGTTCCAAAAAATATGAAGCAGCACAACAGTTTCCAGCACTGATAATAAATCAGCATATCAGAATGATTTCTGAAGATCATGTGACACTGAAGACTGGAGTAATGATGCTGAAAATTCAGCTTTGATCACAGGAATTAATTAGATTTGAATGTATGTTAAAATAGAAAATTGTTATTTTACATCGTAATAATATTTCACAATATTACATTTTTTTCCTGTATTTTTGATCAAATAAATGCAGCCTTGATGAGCATAAGAAACTCCTTTAAAAAACATTAAAAATCGTTCTGATCCCAAACTTTTGACCGGTAGTGTATATTGGTGCCTGCATGTTTTACAACATATATTTCATTAATTTATATAATTTAATCTATCAGAATTACCAAAATCTACTGTATAAAGACAAAAGACTGTCAGGGGAAATTAATTAAAAATTAACTAAATAACTGAAAATGTAACATTTTAATACACATTACTCATAAAAAAAGAAGAAAAAAATAAAACTTAATATAAGATGTAATCATATTTGGGTATGTTTTTTATTTTGGTGTGTTTTTTGGTATGCATATTTTTACTGTTTTTCAACATAAATTAATAATTAGTTTTTGCAAAAACAATCAATTTTACAATAGTTTACAATAAAACTACACGTATTGTTCTATGGTACACTAACTAAAAGTTAACCAGTTAACACAGTTAACCAATTAAAGGTTTTCACAGGAATATTTTTAGTTTCTTAAAAAAAAAAAAAGTACAGTCTACTGGAGCTATATTTTAGCTGATAAAGGAAATTGCAAAGAAATTATAGTTATTTAACATTTAAAAAATTAAGTGTCATGTTGAAATAATTTCTAATGTTAATTAACAAATGGAATGTAAAAATTGTTGTTGAAAATGGCAAAAATTCTTCAAAACATTTTTTGAGCCCTGAGGGAAAATAAATGTTGAGGCCTGCATCTTTAAACTTACTGTAATTTTGTGAGTTTAAACTTGTTTAATAAATTTTGTATTAATTTTACAAGAAGTGTTTTTTTTAATTTTGTAAGACAACATTTTGTTATTGACAAACACACTTAAGGTTCTCTATTCTAAAATAATAATAATAATAATGATAAGTCTGCAACCAAAATAGTGTATACAGTTATTTAATATCAAGGCTCTTTCCAAATCTGTAGACTTTTCCAGGCATATCCTTCTCTAATTTTTTTTGTAGAATTTTATTGATGACAGACAATCTATTTCTGTGGAAATTTGCGTCTCTTTCTGTGGCCAGTGACTGGGAAATCTGGCATTAGGGTCAAGCAAGGATGCACGGGGACAAACAGAAAACAAAATGCTTTTTCAGAAGTTAAAACGCGCCTGTAGCTCCAAAACTAATCTGTGTAACATTCATATTACCACAGAGTTGTGAAATGGCTTTTGCTTGGCCCATGTGATGTTGTCATGGGTCTATCCAGTTAGTTCTGTAGACAAAGCCAACTATCAGCAGTTAGGATTTTGGCCGGGACTGTCCCCCATTGGTTAATTCACCGCAAACGAAATTTCTGTGAAGTCATGATTATGTTTGAATTTATTTTTGTTTTATGCTCTCCTTCTCTTGGCTCTCCTCATCTGCCCTCCGCCCATCTGTTAGGAATCAATGGGCAAGAGTTCTGATGGGAAGTCTTACATCATCACAGGGAGCTGGAATCCCAACACTCCTCAGTTTCAGGCCGTGAATGAGGAGACGCCCAAAGGTACAGATCCATACACGTGCTCGGTTTGCAGACTGTGTTCCAAATCATTGTTTGAGCTCTTCTGATGCTGATTCTTTCTGGAATATTGTTATTTAAACCATGAGTGATTTGAAGAGGTACCATTTAGCCGTTGTGCTTAAAAAATCTGGAACATTCTTCCAACTAAAATTAGACAGGCTCCAAATGTTCAGATTTTCCAAACATTCTATACACATAAAATGCATTTTTATTTAATAATAATAATAATAATAATCGTTGTGTCATTTATTATTATTATTAACAACAACAATAATGTTGTTAATCATAATAATAATTAGAAATGTAACAATTTTAACAATACTTAGAGCTGTATTTGATGTATGAAAGGTCCTATACAAATAAAATTTATTTTTATTTAATAATAATTACAACAATTATACATTTTTTAAGTTTCTCTGATGTTTTTTTTTAATACTTTGATCTGGATTATATGTATTAAATGTATTATACAAATAATGTTTTTTTTTATTATTTATTAATTTAATAATAATAATTATTATTATTAGAATGTATTGTATTATTATTAACAACAACAATGTTGTTAATAATAATAATAATAATTTTAACCATTTTAACAATAATTTGAGCTGTATTCTATGTACGAAAGGTGCTATACAAATAAAATGTATATTTATGTTGTTGTTGTTAATAATAATAATAATAATAATTTTAAGTTTTCCAGATTTTTTAAAAAAGTACTTTGTTCTTGATTCAATGTAATAAAGGTGGTATATGAATAAAATACATATTTATTTAATACTTAGATAATTGGATCCGATATATGATGTGCTATACAAATAAAATGAAAATATAATTTTTATTTAAAGGGGTCATATGATGCGATTTCAAGTTTTCCTTTCTCTTTGGAGTGTTACAAGCTGATTGTGCATAGATAAGATCCCTGAAGCTGCAAAGACTAAAGTCTCAAAACCAAAGAGATATTCTTTATCAAAGTTAAGACTCTGCCACGCCCCCCTAAAACGGCT